CAAGAGAATGAACAGAAATCCAACTCACTTATCAATTCTTTCAATAAATATGAATGGCTTGAATTTCCCACTGAAGACATATAGGCTGGCTGAATGAATAAAAAACAATACAAGCCAACTATCTTCTGTCTCTAGGAAACACATCTAGCCCAAAGTGAGAAACAGACCTGCATGATCTTGATTGTAAAATTTAAACTATTACATGCATTAGTTTCTATGTGTAAGTATTTTCCATAAAATGTGGAATTTGCCAATTCCACCACTTTGTAAAATTAAAAATTTGGATTATTTTGAATCTTAGTTTATATTTCTTTAGATTTTACTTTATCATTAATGTATTTTGATTTTTATTATATATTTTTAAAACATCTATATTTGACAGTTGAAATCAGCTGAAAAGACATATTTGAGTGGCAATATTGCACAGTAATTAGCATGGACCTTTGAGTAAGAAATATACATTTAAGGCAGTGGTCTGACTTCCACCAGCTGTGTGACCTTAGGCAAATTATTTAAAAAACCCTAAACTCAGGTTCTGTACCTGTAAAATGGGAAATATTGTAATACCTAAGTCATAGCATTGTTGTGTCAATTTGTACGGAGTATCCTCCACTTGCTCGTCTCCCTTTCCCTCTCTCCCAGAACAATTTTTCAATCTTCTCAGTTCTGTTCTGCACCCCAGAAGAGTTGATCACCAAGGAATCAATAATGTAGTAGTCTCCCTTGCCCTGTGTCTTTTAACTGGATTCAATGAATGTGAGACACTCACAAAAAAATCCAAAAAATGAAGAGAGATAGTTCAGGGTACTTTTTCCTCTCCAGCTCTAATTCAGCCTTGTGATTCTGCCAGGGAATATGTCCCTCAACTTTTCCAGCTCCTATGGGTAGCTCCTTTCTACAGAGTTCCAGGTCTTCCTAGATTCTAGCAGCGTCACTTTCTCTCCTTTCCTGCTACGTTTAGGGGTGGTAATGGCTCCCTACTACTGCTAGACTCTGGGTGCCTCCACATCATTCAGTCAATCCTCAACCCTGTCCATACTTTGGAAAATAATCATTTCATCCCCCAAATAGCAGCTTTTGAAAGCAAGACCCAGTTAATCTTGTTTTGGGAGAGGTTAATAAATATGAAGTTCATAATTTTATGAATAATAAGCATGTTTCCTTTCAACTTTCATCTATCCAACATTTAATTTTCATTTGGGATTCTTCTGTCAGAATATTTATATTCTCTCTTTATGAATCTTTTCTATTTCTGTTATTTTTCTCTTAAGATTCAATGAATAGAAATGTGCATAGACCTTTAGGTACAGAAATCATATGGGTTTTAAGAAGAAAAGGTTAATACTTTTAAAATTGTTTTCTACACCTTACCTACTCTGAAGATTTAATTATTCCTCCTGGCCTTAGAAAATACATTGAGAAATACTATTCAGGGGATAGTCTATGATCTCACACACACACACACATACACACACACACACACACACACACACACACACACACACACACACACATTCACTCACTCTCATACATGCATGGGTAACAATTTAGAGTAGCCCTAATGATTTTTACTAAGTGATCTTCTGCATTGAAGCTCACTCTCACTTTACAGTAAGATCAATTTATCCAATCAATATTTTTCACAGTCTTATTCACATTCGTATGATAAGACACAGAGCAGACACTTCTAGTAGCCACAGGTGCCTTTGGCTCCTGTGAAACTATGCAAGGTTTCTTCCAGCTCCACTGGTTCTACAGACAGAGGCAGAATAAATTATTTCTTCAGCATCTTAAGAATTGTGAACTGTGCCCCCTCCTATACTCATGACTACAACTAAAGGCAGGGAAAAAGAAGAATTGCAACTGTGTCTGAACTGCAGGCTGTCAGAGCAGCATTTTTGTTTTAGCAGATGTCAGTTTCTTATATTAACTGTGACAGAAGTTGCATGTCCTGAGCCAAGGAGAAAATAAATGTTTACTATCAGACTGGAGAGCTGAAGACCAAAAGCAGGGTTTGGGAGACAAGGAGTCAGAAAACCACAGATGAAAGCAATGCCATGGAGACCAGTTCAATAAATCTGTGTACATCCAGATTCATATAAATCAAAGTAACTCAACCAGGCAGATTCTAGATTTGTTCCTATTGGGTGTCAGCATTTTATTTAGAAGATGAACAGAAACAAGCATAATCCTTATCAAAGTTACTAATTTTCCAACATGTACCCTGGTCTCTAAATACTTCTTGGTTTGAAGTTCTCAGCTCTCACTGAAGAGTCCGGAATTATTCTGTAATCATCACTAGGATAAATGAAGGAATCCTTGAACTACTAAATGCATACCTCATTTAGGGTGTACTTTGAAAAATTGGTATGATTCTTCCATGATTTTTGATCCTTATGGTACAGTCTGAGAAGCGGTCAATGATACTCCTAAGTTATCAACTAAATTTGATACAGAGTGTTTCTAGCATTATTCAAAGACAAGCACAATGTTGAAACTTCCCCAAAGGAATCAAAAGAAATGCTCTAGGACAGGGGCCCCCAACCTATGGTTGGTTGTATTATTATTTTATTATATATTACAACATAATAATAATAGAAATAAAGTGCACAATAAATGTTCATGTGCTTGAATCATCCCTAAACCATGCCCCCACCCCAGTCTGTGGAAAAACTGTCTTCCATGAAAATGGTCCCTGGTGCCAAAAATGTTGGGGACCACTGCTCTAAGGAAAATCTAAACCAGCCAGTCTTCCATGATTTTTCTAGTTTTAAACAGATCTTGGGAAACTCAAAGCTACCAGAAACTTTGAGCCAACTCAATATTTAGGTTGCACCTAAAAGACATAAAGGTTTAACATGTGCCCAAAGATTTGTCACACAGAGAAAGTTAGAAGCCCTAATATTTTTTCAAAATGTACACAAGCATGAAATATCACATGTACATTCAATGAGTATATGAATCAGGGTGAACATATACTTAATCCAAACCAATACACTTGTAAAAGTGAATGCAGTATTATTAATAATTAAGCCGAGACAACAGGCATAAGCCATGCCCAAACTGGGCAAACCAGGATGTGTGATCTTTCAAATATGATTCAACATTCTTAGGAGGAAGTCACGGAGTTGACTGTGTATGCTAGGGGTATACACAGTGATAGATTATGGAGGGTCTTGAATTCCAGCCAAAATCATGTGGACTTTCTTGATAGATATTGGGAAACCATTCTACAGATCTATTAATCTGAAAGATGCCATATCAATAGGTTCCTTTTTATAAATATAAACATCAAGAGCAAATATATTATTTGTCATTCATTTTACAGAGCAACTTGGGCCTATCAGACTAAGTCTCCTAGGTGTTTTATGTTCCAAACATTTATTTACCACCGTCTACACATAAGGTATGGTATTTGGATGGAGGAAGATTTACAGATGGTTATGACATAGGCCATGACCTTTGGGAGAAAAATAATGATTTACATAAACTAGCTAGGTTTAGCACACAGCAGAATAAAGTAAGTTAGGTAGGATGGTAGAAACAGGGTCTCTGTTTCCTATTCTCTTTGTTTTCTATTAATACATAATACACAATATAGGACTCTGATCAGGGGCTCAATAAATTGTATTTAAACCTTATTTTCATAAATACAGGCATTCCCAATGAGATGAGTATTAGAATAAAATGCTTTGATTGGATCAATTATTTGCAACCTAGGGAACCTAGCAAAGGAAAGCATGCAGACAGTTGATTGAGAAATTGTGTAATATTAGCCCAGTTAACTTTGCCAAAATGTGTTTTTTTGTGTTTTCATTTCTCTGTGAAATCTAGCCTACAGGATCAACTGTTTCCAAGTGCACAGGCATAATCTGTTGCCTAACACATAGCAATTTAATGTGGGTGAGTTCCCTATGCAAGCAATTTTTCTGAGAAATATAATAGACTGCAAAGAAAGTAGAGTTGATTGCTATTAAGCACTGTGAACAAGACATGAAATTATTGTACCTTTGGGAACAAGATAAACATACATGCCATCTGAAATTATACCTGTCACAATATAATAAAATAGCACACATGGATTTTTTTTTCCTCTTGACTATGATACTTAGTTTCTATACTTCCTTATAAATACTGATCTAATCCCTTTATTTAAAATATGAGCATTCAAATTTTAGAGCTTAGTCGTATTGCTAGTTACTGAAAAACAAAATAATAAACTCAGGGGGAAAAGTCATCATTGTTACAAATTAAACAAATATGGTATATCCTAAATTCTTTACACAAATTTGAATACATAAAAGCTTGAAGCACTGACTAAAGAGAGCATATAGCTGTACCCTAGATATATTTCCAGTAAGTCTTAGTCTTATCCTAACAAAATGTAGATATTAATAAAATGTTTTATGGTGCTTTTATAATAAAACATTGAATTTGGTGTCTTCTTCAATTCAACTTAACATATCATAGATAAATACAAAATAAACCAGAACTTTAAAGTTTTCAATTGGACACTAGGCATCTCTTAAGTCTCATAAATCCATTCATGCCTGATTTTATGCAGTAAAGGATAACATGGAAGTCTAATATTTTAATAGAATTATAAAGTTTACAATATTAAAGGCTATTTTAGGACTTAGAAGAATTTGGTGATTTTTTTAACTTAATGATATGTGAAATTTTAAAAAAGTAAAACAATTTCTTCAGAAGTTTCTTACACTTAATACACCATTGTTATAATATATGAACTTTTTCCACCATGAATTCTAAAGGAAGGAATATAAACTAAGAGATTGAAGTTAGAGAGAAGTTAACTAGTAAGTTAATCAGTGATAAGAATCAATACTAACCAGTGAGTCTCTTGAATCCTGATTTGGGAATCCTTCAGTTAGTGATGTGTGTGTGTGAGAAAGAGAAACAGAGAGAGGAGAGAGACAGAGAGAGAGAAAGAAAGAGACTTCACATTAAATATTAAACATCGGGCCAGGCACAGTACTCACATCTGTAATTCCAGAACATTGGGAGCCAGAATTGGGAGGATCACTTGAGCCCAGGAGTTCAAGAGACCAGTCTGGGAAACACAGCAAGACCTTGTCTCTACAAAAAAAAAAAAAAAATTAAAAATTAGCCAGGCATGGTGATGCACCCCTGTAGTCCCAGCTACTAAAGAGGCTGAGGCAGGAGACTGTTTGAGCCTGGGGAGTTGTAGGCTGCAGTGAGCTGTGACTGCACCACTGTACTCCAGCCTGGGCAGCAAAGCCAGATCCTATCTCACCAAAACAAAACAATTAAAGATCAAATACTACCTTATTTTTTATGCATTATAATTCTACTTCTGTTCTTATAGCTAATCAGATGTATTTTGGTCGTTTATATTTGTCAAAAATAAGCAACAGAAACTATCATAAGAATGTGACTCCCAATATGAAATCCAATGATAATTTTCATTTTACTGAATGCTAGTGGCTATAACCAAAACAGTATTTATTATTTAAAAATCACCTTCAATATAGATAACATAATTATAAATTAAAATACTCTTACATATTAATATCACTTATAATGACACACACATATATATCCACCATTATTCTCCCTAATTATAGCAAAAATGAGTAGCAAACAAAATATCTTTGAAAAGTTTAAATAATTGATGAAGTATTTATTATTCCTCCTTTTTATCAAACCGAGGAAATGAGTTAGTGCTTTTAGACAGAAAATGCCAAAATTTCCTGAAATCCACATTCTAGCAAGAACAAGGGGCAACTCAATACAAATTGTCTAAACAGTAGAATAATTAATTTATTAGGAGATTAAATTAATGTTTTCAGTGGAATTCTTTCCCAAAACTCTTCAGACAAGCAGGACTTTCCCAATGGTTATGATTTTATGACATTCTGCACAAGTTGAATCTATCTTGGTAAGATTGGCCTAAATTCCCTATCTCCTTCTGTGGGGCGGATTTCTGCCATAGATGACTTTTTGCCATTCCCAGTAAAGTCCAATTCTGCACAAGGTTTATAAAGTTGTATAAACATAGTTTATTAAGACAGGGAGAAAGGTACTATACAAATGTAAAATATTAAAGTGCTTAATCAAAAGCACCTTTTGGAAATATCCTCTGTCAAGCTGAATAAACAAAAAATGCAGAAGAACATAATATATCACTGCTGGACTATCCATCAAAAACAGCCAGCGATTTCATTTTTGGTTGATTCTATTCGTACAGCCTTAGGTTCCAAAGATTTTGAAATGCTTGTTGAAATGCACTACCGCCTCCTCACCCATCTCCCCCATCATTGGTTAAATCACTTCCTAAGTGCTCACATAAACAAAACTGCATTATCCTTGCTTTGTAAAGCTGACACTAAAACCTTTAGCTGACAAGAGAATAGCTTTACCCTATACATACCTTCTCCGGGCATCAAACCAATAAACGTAAATTTTAAAAGATCTTATAAAAGATAAATTTAAAAGGTTAAATTTTAAAAGATCTTATAAAAATGCGTTAAATAAATGTGTATTACTCAGATGAAATTAACTTTCCAATATTCTCAGAACTGGCTGAAGCATGGTAATGTTAGCTATTTTTTTTTTCTGTAGACTCTATGGTCCAAATTGAATGGATTTAGAGCCAACCTAAGGCCATTGGTGAGGATTCTTGTCCTTTTTAGAATAAGTAACTTACGCTCCAGTTATTTCAGAAATCCCTTATACTCTCTAGGGATAGGATAGTCATATTTCAGTGTGGGAAATATGGGACCTATTCCAATATGCTGTTGAGAGGCACAAAAGTGAGACTTGGTATGAAATGAGCTTATTGGCAATACATGATTGAAAACAAATAGGCTCATGCCATATATTCTGGTAATTATCAGACACTACACTTACTCAGTGTTTAAGTGCTAGGCATTGCGCTAAGCACTTTACAAGTGTTCTTTAGTTACTATAATAACCCTACCAGGGAGATGTTACTATTATAGATTACATTTGAAGGATTAAGTGACTTTCCTGAGGTTACACTCTTTGGACAAAAATGAATCTGAAAGTTTTGTAAGGCCATAGAGCTAATTGTGGGTTGATTCCTGAACACATTGCTCTGGAAAATCCAGCAGTATCCACACTCAGGCCAGAGTTAATAGTGACAAATGCACACACAGCTTTGGGGATGAATTTATAAAGTCAATGGTGGGGTTATTATTTCTACATGGTGTGGTATAGGGGAAGAAATCTGGGTGGGGTGGGGTTGGGTTTGGGGGCTTCAGCTAAAGGATTTGTCTTTCACCATGCATAGCATATAATGGAAGATAGAGACAATATCAGTTTTCCATATGTTAGAAATATGGGCGTGGGGTAGAAAATATTGATGAATATTACAGAAGAGCATAGAAAGCTTCAGCGGCCATCCACTAGTACCCTAATGTCTAAGGCAGTGTCACAGTTGTAAAGGAAACGTCTTATCTTCAACCATAGCTTGATTTGTGGTGAACCAGGCAAATCTTACAGTAGACTCACCCCTCAGGCATCTCAGTAAGACCCTTCCTCTAGCTCTAATACGTGTGTTGTTCCATGACTTTCTTAAGTCCGTTATTCTACTCTGTGCTCTTTAGAGGTTTGGATATCAAATCCAAAAATCCTACCTCCATTGCAAAGCAAACTAAGTTCCAGAACGAGTCCCAGCTTGACACTTGATGACTGTGTTGAGTGTAAGAACTCTGTTGTGTGGGTTACAAAAGTTGGTCCTGGAGTCTGGACTGATTTAGTCATTTTTCTAGAAGTGGAAGAAAATACGTGGTGTGGAAGGGCTGAAAGGGAACAGCTGGAAAGTTCCATTCATGAAACTTTCAGTTAATGCCATGTAAAAATACTGTGTTATATTCTCAAAACCATCACATTAATAATGGCATATATGCAACTATTATATATTTTAGAATAAGAAAACTTGCCATAAGTGGATAACCAAAGTGCTATGTGAGTTTCCACGGGAAAGAGTTAGTATGGAAAACAGAAAACTCTTCTTGGAGGATATGGCAGCAGAGAAGAGCCTTTGTCTGATAGGATATTATTATGGGAGATTCCAAACCTTAGGAACACCATCATGGGAAAAAAAATAAAGGTATTGGATTAGAAAAGTTCTAGATTGTGACATATCTGTGAAGGAAACTTGACTTCCCAAACACAAAAGTAGTGTAAGATTGTCCTTGGTCTAAAGGTAATAGGAGCACAGATAGTAGGGTTCCTCACACCATTACCTATAAAGCCTCCTCTAGGTAAGGCAGGACTAATTGTCCATTATTCTCACCATGTTGAAATTTCTCTAAGGTTATGAATATTTTATCACCATAGTAGTCTTAGCACAAAAATAAAGCTGGATACAGAACTGTCATTCAATAAATACTGAATGAATAAATGAGGTATAAGCACATGAATTTAATGGTGAAAAGGCTGTAGGAATTAGAAATCGCTGAGGATGAAGATCCAGTAGGGAACCGTGGATCTATGTTTGCTCTGAGTTTAAGACTTGATCCTCTCTGGCCCTAGACTCCATTATGTCGGACCTCCAAAATTTAAGCTTACCGTCCATGTCAGAGCAAACTATAGTGTCTCTAGGTTTGGGAATGAGAGGAGAACAAGAATTGGACATGAGGCTTGATACATAAATATAATATCTCACATTCTTCATATCATGGTCTTAACCCTCCCGTATCTTTCCTGATAAGCCTGTTGGGATCACACCAGAGGGAGGTTACAGGTTACAGGGGCCTGCTGGAGAGAGAGTGCAGTTCAGACATGGATGTGGGGAGTTTGCCAAAAATGCATTTCAGACTTAAAAGAATAAATAAGTGAAGGGACAAGGTTTTCATAACAGTAAGAGAGAACAGTTCTTAATGATTCTGATCTATGTTCTTTATCTTCATGGTCAGGAGTCCTAAATATTTGTCTAAGAGTGTATACATAATGAAATAACTAAGGTGGAGGAGAACTATTTGTTCAAGGTGGTAGCTTTGCACATCATACCAATAACATTCTTAGCTTTAAAAACTCTTCTTTTTAGCAATATTTATGGCAGATATTTATTTTCATCATTTCCAGGTAGTAGTGAACAGGGATCACTTGGGTTATATATTCATGAAAATCTACCATGAGTCATGTCTATTTATGGGTACGTGGTATTTTTGAGGTCTTTGACAAAGCCAGCTCTCTCACACACTTTTTAAAGTTAGGTCAGATTTAATTTAAGCTCTACTGCTTTGTACTGCAGGCATGCGTTATCTTCGGTCATGTAGAATGTTAACTTGGACAAGTAGTTGGAATACTTTTTTCTGTATCCATTAGTCTATTATTAGAATTATTCATGCTTTAAAAAATTATAATAACAACTTTTTAAAAGCATAGATGGAAGTATAACTTGAAAATAAAACAAGTACATTATTTGGATGAAGTGATTAGCAGTTTCTCAGCAAATATATTTCTAGAACATTGTATATGATGTGACCACCCCCTCCCTTTTTTTGTTTGCTTTTCCACATTCACTACACTACATTCATATGATATGGCCCTTCTGACCCAGCCATCAGCAGACAATTCTATTTTAAGTTGGTTTCCTAAGAGGAAAATGAGTCATTCCAAAACATTCACTTTTATTCACCCTACCTTTCATATCCAATGATATTACTTGCAAATAGGTAGCCATGGTCAGAAATTAAAGGAGTCTGTGGCTATGGAGAAGTTCCTATTATATTACTACTATGACTGCCTCTTGACAAGATTTAAAATGGCTAGTCATCTCTTTGGAACTGAGATTATTTTTACTTTTACTTATTAATGTTGAATGCTTTCTACATGGCAGACACTTTTCAAATTAGGTTTCTTCTATGAAAACAAAATAGGCAAAGGTGCAGAGCAGGTGTATCTGTAGATAAATTTCTGTATGAAGCCAGGAAAATAAATCCTACATTCTGACTACAAAAACATACATATATTTTATTAAAACAGAAGCATACTTAAAACTAATCCATGTACAGATAGACAATATTCTTAGAAGCAAAGACTAAAGAAACTGGGCATATTGAATTCCTATATCTAATTAATGT